TGTCATTGGCTATAGATGATCCCTTTTACAAACTCTTAAGGGTAACGAATAATGTTTACGTCAGTCTACTCAACATTGACAACTCAAATATAGTATCAAGATGCATATGAGAAGTCATTAACTTAATTAGAATCTTATTTGACTACATAAAATCTCGGTTATACCTCTTAATACCCTTGTGAATCTAATAACTAAGCCACACTTCATTATTATCATATAAGATTCATAATACCACAGTTGTACCACTCACATTTATTGCAAAGTAACACGTTAATTTCTGACCTAATTTATGTCCAACCTAATAGACCATATCTCAAAACTAACATCTTCACCCTCATATTACCATATTTTTTATAAAGAGACTCATCTCAAATTAAAGCTTAGTGTCGAGTAACAAACACGACTCTAATTATAATGACTCACATATTATAATAACTTACAATTGCAAGGTGAAATTAAGGGAAGACGTCATGATAAGTAGACAATATTTCTCTCTTAGTCTATCTAGTTATATATTTTCATCACATTCCTTTTCACAACCTCAGTACCATTTACCCATTCACTGTACATCATTACCTAATTAGTTCTATTCATAAGGCTCTCCCTTCGAAGTCATAAGTTTGGCTTAGATATATCACCTCATGACTACTTTGTCCTTCTATTCAACATATATACTTTATTTTCACTAACGCAATGACATATCAGCATAAATTCATTGCGAGTTAAAGTTTACTCTAACTCATCCCAAATAGTAACATTCGTTTAACTTCTATCATAAAATCATACAAATTATTATTCCAAAGTCTACACATAAAGGAAAAACTCCACATTAATGAATTACTAGGTATGTGACAACGACTAGACACTTTACTCAATAACTATCTCCATTTGTTAGGTTAGTATACTTCTAAATATATATTTCTAACTTTGGACACTTCCACTATTACTGGTTTATAATATCACCAATCACATTATGTCTCCGGCAACAACACTAACCAAGTACTCTTAAAAAACGTTCCCTCTTAAAGGGATTCACCCGAAAAAAAGTTTTAAAAAAATTATTTGAGTGCATATCTTTGTTTTTAGCTCGAAAGCATGATTTATATGAATAATAATGCATTTTTTTCAATCAATACACTTACGCATACTGATGGGCTTGTCTAAACCTACATTCTGTATCTTTGACTTTCTAAAAACATCATCTGAGAATAACTCATCGATAATGATTTGGGCTTTGATACTCCAACCAAGTTTAGTATGAAGGGTAGTCTAATGGATTTTAGAAATGCATGATTTTGAATAACATTGTTATGAAAGAATTCAATTGCACAATATGGAGTACGAAAGAATGAGAAACATCTCCTAAATGTGTTGTAGCCTCCTTATACAAGTGTACTTCACAACATATCCATAAGCTTAACTATACTAGAGTACACAACTTCATAGACACCCTAAGACATTTGAACTCTTTAATCTAATAACAAGTTTGTCATTCTCCCAGCCTATACCTAGGAGCTGGACGACACTTAATCATAGCTTGTTCCAAGCAAAGTCTTGGCATGATGATTACATAGAGGAAAACTATACATACATGCGGAAGCCTTATAAAGTGGACAATATCACTAGAGGGTTGGGATGTTACAAAATGGTACAAAAATCACTCCTCTATTAGTGTTGTCAATGTGCATGAAAGTTAGATTAAATTTTTGAAAATCTCGATAAGATGGGTTCAATCTCAGTGTTAAGTCTAGGCAAATCTCATACGGTGGGGCAAACCTCAACGAGGAAGGTGAGTCTATAGAGAGGGTGTATGTAACAACCCAGGTTAATATTAGAATTCTCACATCAACAAAACATCGAAGAGATATTGGGTATATATGTCAATAAAAAATACCAACTAGTCATACACTTTAAGTCGTGGCGGCGTAGGCCCAAAATAGACAATATCACTAGCAGGTTGAGTTGTTACATTTGATCATGTAATTATTTGGTCTGCAGGTAATTAGGTGTAATTATCATGGAGTAACTACACTCTCCAATTATCAATGAGGGACTATGAAGTGTTGTTAATAACATGATGTAACTACACGCTGATGAGTTTTTTATTAATTTTTTTATTTTATGATTTAGTTTTATCTTAAATTCTACTCCGTCTATTCCAATTTATGTGGCACACTTTGCTTTATGAGAAACAACCAATTTAAGTTGACCAAGAATTTGCTATTAAAATCTTCATATATTTTAAAATGAAATATATATTTGATAACTGCATAAAAATTAATTTAAGTTAAAATAATTGATAATTTGAAATATTTAAAATATATATGAAAAATTTACGGTTAAAGATAGACTTGTTTGAATCTTGACATTTGAAATGTGTCACATAAATTAGGAGATAGAGTATTATTTTAAACCAGTATATGTACCCGCGTGTTGTGCAATTAGTTTAATAAGTTCTTTTATTAAAGATTATTTGAAACGTACATATTATGGAAAATAATTCTTATACATTGTGAAAAATAATTTTTCTATACTAAAAATAATCTCTAAACTTAATCGATACATTTTACATGTAATATAGAAATAATAAATTAAACTTCCACAGTTCAAGAGAAAAAAACTTAACAAAATAAGTTATATTAAAGCAACATATTAGATGTCCAACAATTTTTTATAGTCAATTTATTTAGTTTTAAAATTCTATTACAATATATTACAATATATGTCAGTTTAAAGATAAATAAATCAATTTTAACCCATATGGGAGAAAATTGATCTTCTTAGTATTATATTGATATAGTTGCTAATTTTCTATAAAATAGAGTTTATAGAAAGTGTGATTTAATTTTTTTGTGGGCATTTAATTTTTAGTTTGTATTGTTTTTATTTTTCATATGTTATTTTTTTTTGGATTTTCAATTTACATATTAAAATAATTTGAATTAAAGAATTTTTAAAAGGAAAAAATAAATATGTATTTTTTGATTTTCGATTTATAAATTAAAATATTTTAAATTATGAAATTTTTTAAAGGAAAAAGAAGAATTCGAATGAAAATAATGAGTATGAAAAATTTTAAAAAATTAGGATTGTTTTATTTTTTAAATTTAAATATTAGTTTTAGTTATTGTTTGGAATTATTTGATTATTCAATATTGATGTATATAAAAAAAAAATTATGACTATTTTTATATTTTGTGTAATATCAATTAAAGTTTTTGTCCTTTTCATGTTGAATAAAATTTAATTCGTATATTATATGATTTTAATTGGGATAATGCACAAGTATCTCCTCAACCTATGCCCGATACCTCAGAGACATACTTATACTATACTAAGGCCCCATTACTCCCTGAACTTATTTTATTAATAATTTTATACCCCTTTTCGGGCTAAGTGACACTATCTTGTGGGCCCAATGCTCGTTTAATTTTTTTTTCAAGTTAGGGCAACGTAGGCCGAAAAGGGGTAGAAAAATTACTTATAAAATAATTTCAAGGGAGTAATAGGACCTTAGTATAGTATAAGTGTGTCTTTAAGATTTCAGGCATGGGTTGAGGGGGTTACTTATCCAATTTCAAATTTTAATTCAGTATTTTAATATTTTGTTCTATTACTCTCCTTTCATTCGGTATAGTTAATTTTTATAGTGATATTTTTATTTAGTTTTTAACTTCCACAAGATTACAACATTTTTTTTAATCATTTCAATTTGTTATCGATATTATATATATATATATATATATATTATTTGTAGTTTATTTTCATTGTTTGGTATATTTAGTTGTTTGTAAGACTTAAATTATATGGGTTAAGTCTTGTTTATATGTTTCTATTATTTGATATCATATAAACCTTTTTTTTACACTCCACCCCCTCCTCCTCCCTTTCCTTCTGATTTTATTCATTTTGAAAGATAATGTCTTGTTTATTACCCTAATTTGATGGATCCATCACTTCACCTAAGAGAAAATTCGAATAAACTAATTCCATTTGCACAAATTTTAATTGACCTGATTAATTAAAATAAATAACTGCAATAATATTAAATAATCTATCTCAATTTAAAGATAACTAAATAATTATTACCTTTGTAAAAGATAAAACTGATATTGCAATTCTTATAATGAAGTAGCTGTTATTTGATATAAAATAGAGTTTAACGAAGTGTAATTTTTTATAGGGGTATTGTTAGCTCGTAGTTTGTAATGTTTTACTTTCATTTGTTGAATTTGCTTTTCAACTTTTATTTACAAATTAAAATACTTTTGAATTATGAAATATGTAAAAAGGAAAAAGGAGTATCAAATGAAAGTAACTATTTTGTAGAAAAGTATGATACAAATTCAGTTATTCTGATTATCATATTTTTTTCAGATTCTTGTAAAGCAGTAAAAGTTAATGTGATGTTTCTTTCCATCTTTTATATAGGATTTTGTCCTATATTGCAACATTATGATTATAATGTTGCCGCAAAAGTAAATCTATATGAGTCAATCCATATGATAATTTCTTACCAATATATATAACATAAAGTATCAAAGGTTAAATAAAAGATAGGAATGAAAATTTTAAAAATAAAATAAAAGTTCAACAACAAGTTTTATAGAAAATAAGCTTGTAGATCTCAATTCTTACCATGTGATTTATAGATTCATAAGAAGGTAACATATTGAATGATGAATCCTAAATGACAGAAGCATTTCAAATATAACACATAAGATGATAGGTTGTAGATGTCTCTTTGCATGATCAGTAAATTTACTCCAACAAAAAATCATAGACAATTAACATTTTAATACCTTATTAACGGTTGTAACCGTGCTTTAAAAATATAATGAGGTGTCATGTTTTAAGAGTCATCGATAGTACTTTTTTAAATATACTGACATGTGTACTTTTTCTAAAGAAAAAAATTGTCCGGTGGATCCTTGTACTTGTATTCGTTTGTATTGTGAACGTTTCTTCTTATCTCTTTGTCATATGAAACCTGAACTCATAAAAACTTAATCAGTTGAACCCTTTTCAACTGATCATTACTCTCAATCGCGCTAGTGTCACATTTCCTGTCAGATAAATTTGGCAGCATCATTTTTTAATTTTATAATAATTTCTTTTGGAAAAAAATCATAAAGTTTTGGGTCTCCCTAGATTATTGACAACTTTCACTGTGAGATGGCCCGGGCAGTCAAATAAGAGTATTTTTTCAGGTCCTTTACTTAATCATTAATTTTATTAATATATATTAATTAAAATTACAAAAATTTAACCTATTTCAGTTTCAATAGCGTAACCATATTTTGTTTTCCTTGGAATGCTGCCAATTAACCCTACTTTCAATATTTTCCTCATTCTAACCCCATCTCTATTTGTTGCAATGCCACCTCTAACCCATCCTCCTCTTCCTCTTTCAACTTCTGTGGTATTGCTGATACCACTTCCACCAGCACTCGGCTGAATTTGAGAGAATTCTCCGGGGGAGAAGCGAACGGAGGATAACACCAAAATTTCAAAAATTAATTTCTAGGAAAATCCTTGGTCGCGCAACCGAGAGAGCTACTTGTATGATAATAGTGAACCTCTTCCTCTTCCCTTGAGTTATCCTGACAGTTCTCCTATTTTTGTGAGACAAAATTGACCATCGACTTCGCTGTGATCCCTAAATACAGGTCTTAGTTTCTCTTTATCCTTTATATTCATTTGCCTTATTTTAGACTAATAAGAAGAAATCAACCATTTTTGATTAATTTGAACCTCGATCCAATTGACTTAGCAGGCATCACCTATGGTGAAACGAATAATAGTGAACTATGATAAATATAAGATCCAACGTAGTTTGACATTGCATCTTATTGATTAGTTGTCAATTTGAGGGAAGTGCACAATTAGATTACCCCAATTTATCTCATTGTTCTACTTAAGACTATTGAGTTTAGATCAAATTTTTGTTTTTTTAATTCAAGTTCTTTTATGTATGAAATGGACTTTTTGGAACATTACTTCTGTAGAACAAAAGAACTAACTTTTGAGGTTTAGCCTTTTAATCTTGTGGTAATTAAGAGTGTAGCATGTGATATGTGGGTTAGGCACACTTCAAAAACGTAGACAAAAGCTTGGTATTGAAGTGGAAAATGATAAAGGGGCAGGCCAATTATAAGATTCTGGAATATGGATGGTAATGTGAGCAAGAAGGAGGAAAAACTAAAGATCGTCCCAGCATGCATTTGGTGGTCAATTTGGATTGAGAAGAACAAAAGTTGCCTTGAGGGCACTCGTAACAATATCCAGAATCTTAAATTGAATTGTTTAGGCCTTTATTAGTTTTGGGGTGAGCAAAAACTGGTTGCTCAAACAGAAGGTATTTGTGATGTTTTTTTTAACTTTATATAAGGCACACAACTGAATTGCAAGTTGTAACTTGTAATACTTTTGCAGGGTACTACACCTTGGTTGTAGAATAGCTTGGGACATATATAAGTAAAGTTATCATTATCCAAAAAAAATTATCCTTCAAGTTTCAAATCGTGTGCCAATGACCCTCAGGAATTCCTTGGTTACCAAAGAAGAAGAAAACAAGATCAGCACTTTGTCTGCTATCTTGTGGCACAAAGTTACTTGATTGGTCAATATACACTATAATCCGTTTCAAATTTTATCCACCACTAGGCTACTAATAATACTGAAAGGAATGAGCATGCTATTTGTTATCATAGTGTAATATCTTTTTCTACGTAAAGAAGATGTTTACAACAGAACACTAAATACATTCACTGGTCTATGTTTTTCATTTTTCATTGGTCATTTTTATTTTTTTGATGAAAACCCTTTGGTTATTATTGCTACTTTAGGATTGCAAACAAGTTGTCTATGAGTAGACTGGAAAATGCCGGAGCTGCCAAGGAATGGAATTTGTCAGTTACTACAACAAAGGAGGGAATGAGACCATCTGTAAATGCATACTTTGTCTTGGAACTGGTACAAGAACCTTATTCTTATTTCCTGTATGCATCATATTTTCATGATCATTATTTTACTTCTCTGTTCTGCTTTACTTTGAAAAGCATGGAATGCATACTAATTCATTCAAGGCTTCTTTTCATACAATAGTATGAAGTAAGCTTTATATTCTTATGTAGTATAAATGGTTAAAAGTACCTAAATAGTAGTTTCATGTCTATAAAAGTATATGCATTAAAATTATGTTAACTTACCGTGTCTCAATTCCTAGCAAGTTGGGGGTGACTATAGTGGCATAGCCAAAATTTTCTTCAAGATTCCTCAAATTTAAAAGAAGTCAATGAAAAATATTGATGAATGGGTGCAAATTTTTCTTAGTCAAACTACACAATATTTCGCTAAACCATAAAAATAGTGTAATAAACATACAATTTTATACCGAAAAAACTAACATGAGAGGTCAAACAAAAAATTCTACAATAGACATTCAATCAAAATTTATCATCACAATTGTATTTGAAAAAATTTCATCTTTTTTAGTGTATTTATAATTATGTACTCATTATAAATTAGGGGTCATTTGGTAGATCGTATAAGAATAATGCTAAATATAATATATTAGCAATAGTTGCATTTTAATAATGCTTGTATTACTTATGCTTGCATTAGTTGTACATGATTTCTTATGCATTATTTGGTTTTGTGTATTAAAAATAACATATTTTTACAAAAATATTTATTTATAAAAATGTCCTTCACAAAATCACAATTATGGTGAAAAAGATTTAAAAGTGCTTTCGTGGGGTATTTGTGTCTTTAAAATGCTAATGTGTGCATTAAAGCCTTTTTGCATTATTAATACCTAGAAACCCATGATATTAGTAATATACTTCCCAATACACAATAGAGTGTACATAAGATGTAAAAAGGTATGAAACAAGGTACTACTAATACAAAGAGCTAATGCAAGCATTATTTTTTTTATATACTCTACTAAATGACCCCTTAGTGTTCAGGAAAACGTTAAGTGGAAAAAAGCGACAATGCACTGCTTAGCTTTGTTAACGCGTGAAAGATAATTTCTAAAGAAAATCAACCAAAACAAATATAGAAATATATATAAGCTGAAGCTCTTATTGAATGCCAGAAGATAGATATCAAAATATCCCCCCTATATCATAGGACAAACAAATCAAATTTAATGATCTTTCAACATCTGTTTCTTGTTCTTCTGAACTCCACTCTACTTTTATAAGATTGGCAAAATCTTATATTTCTCTTTTATCATTATACTAGGTAATTTCTCCATGCTTCCCGCGATCATAATTAATAATTACATTGAACTTGCAAATAAATTTTTACTAATATCTATACATTAAAAATTATAGAAAAGTAGGTTCTTAAAAAAATATAAGCAATATTCCAACATGAATTTAGTTATTTTTCATTATTACACAAGTCATGAATCTCCGATGAATGAATTATTCACGATATAATAAATCATTGGTTCTTTATTAAACATTGAAAGGAAAATAAACAAAAAAATATGAATATATAAATATAAAGGTGTTTCGTAATAAAAAGAAACATTTAAGTTACATAGATTTTATAATTGTGATGTATATCTAAGGAGAAAACGATTACCCTCCAATACAAAAGGTTTACACAATTACATCGTCTCATGATGAAACAGTTTTATTCACCAACCTATTGATAAAAAACTGAGGTGTTATTAAGTCACTCAAAAGGAGCAAAGTACAAAAATATTTAATTTTGCAGAAGTACAAGAAGACCAAAATTATTGTTGTTTTAAAACGAGAGGAAATTCTTTTATTTATAGACAACAAAGGGTAGTGTGAATAAATGTTTATTGTGTCTTATCATAACGATTAAAACAGTTTGGAAAAGGTACAACCCTTCGTAAAGTTCGCAACTTTTCATCAAAGTCACAAATTTTTAATAAAGTCGTAACTTTTCATTAAAGTTGCAACTTTTCATAAAAGTCACAACTCTTTATTAAAGTCAAATGTTTTGATAAAAATTGTATTTCTTTATTAAAGTCACAAGGTTTGATAAAAGTCGCAACTCTTTTTTTAAATCACAACTTTTCATAAAAGTCATATCTTTTCATGAAAGATGAGGGTTAGTTTTTTAAATTAATAAATTTAAAAGAAAAATCTTGTTTGTGGCAGCTCCACGTAGGTGGGCCTAGGGCTATATCTTATATAAATATATGATTGTTCATCGTACATCATCAACACGACTTGAAGTAGCCATCTCTTTCCCTTTCTTATGCAAACTTGATATATTTTCTCTCAAACCATAAAAGTTCTACTCCACTCTTGCCTCAACAATAATACCTCAAGTAAAATTAGAATCTTTCTCAAAATTTACTCTACTTTTACAAGATTGACAAATTCTTATATTTCCTTTTTATCATTATATTCTTCATCATAATTCATTAATATTACTTGAAATATCTATCTCATTCCCCTTATTATGCAAAATTGAAGTATTTTCTCGTAAACCACAACAGTTCTCCGCAAGACTTGCCTCAATAGCAATACCTCGAGTGAACATAGAATTTTCCTTAAAATTGCTTAATCCTCAACTAGTGTTTAGTAAAGTGAGAGCTTTATCGCTTAAAACAAAGCGATGCGAGCCTTCTACACTTCACAAATTAGAATGAGTATGTTAATGCTTCATCACTTAAAGTGTGAAGCTAGGCCTTATCACTTTTTTTTACTTCACGCTTCCCTGAACACTGTCTTCAACTTTCTAAACTCTAATTAGCCATTCAATGACATCATTATTATTGTCCAAGCTAATTAAACCAATTATCCTTCAAGTTTCATAAACATAGACAAAAGCTTGGTATTTAAGTTGAAAAATGATAAAGGGGCGGGCACATTATACGTCATGTTTTAAACCGTGTGCCAATGACTCTCGGGGATTCTTGATTACCAAAATAAGAAAAAGAAATATATCAACACTTTGTCTGGTATGTGGTGGCTCAAAGTTATTTATAGAGTTGGTGACCATGATTGGTCAGTATACAATCTGTTCAAAATTTATCCACCACTAGACTACTAATAATATTGGCAGAAATGAGAATGCTATTTTTTTATCATAGTATAATATATTTGTCTACATAAAGAAGATGTTTACAAGAAGTCTTTTTTTAATTGTTACCCGCAGACCTCTAACGTCTCTTAATCTAACTGTTAATAGTACGACTTCTCTCTCTTAGCCCACTAATTCCATCCTTCTATGTTCATATCTACCTAATGGAAGGAAACTGGAACTTTATTCAAGAGGCTTATGATTGGAGATATATGATTTCTTCAACCAGACTCTTAAGGATAATAAATAATGCTTACATTAGCTTACTCCACATTAACAACTCAAATATACTATCGAGATGCACATGAAAAATCTTTAATTTAATCAGAATTTTGTTTGACTATATGAAATCTCATGTACATCTTTTAATGCACTTGTTAGTCTAATAACTAAGCTACACTTTATTACTCTTATATAAGGTTCATAATTACACACTTGTGCCACTCACATTTACTTCAAAGTAACACCTTAATTTCTTACCTAGTTTAAAGCTTAGATTTGGTTTTTAGGGTTTAACATATACGATTTAGTGTTTTATAGGGTTTAAAACATAAAGTTTTTTTTAGCTTCACGGGTTTTTGTGCTTGTTGAATATTTTAAGGATTAGTGTTTCTTAGATTTTTTAAGGTTTATTGTTTAGGACTTACGGTTTTTTTGTGTTTTAGGTTTAGAGTTTACAGGTTTTTAGGATTTAGGGTTTAGAGCTTTTTGTTATTTAGTTTTAGGGATTTATTGGGTTTAGAACATAGGGTTTTTTAGAGCAAGAAAATAGGGTATAAAAATATATGACTCTGTTAAATATTAAATTTTAATTAGTATGATGACCAAAGCCTAATGATTATGTTATTAATTATAAATTTTGAAAAAATCAATAATATGAGAACCAAAAGTGGACCAAACCTATAATATAAGGAATAAACAATTATTTAAATATACTCACTTACTATTGTAATTACTAATGAATATCCCAAAATGGTAAATTGTGATTCTAATAAATTTAAGCTGCTATACAGAAAAATAGTATTTTGTATCTCCTCTTCTGAAATTTAAGATGGAATAGAAACTCAATGGAAACTGAATATTATGGTATTATAGATGATGTTCGAGTAGTGCTAGTTGATTACGAAACAAAGAATGTTGGTAAAATGGTGGATATGTCGAAGTGTTATGACTACAAAAATGAGATCTCTACAAATATACATTCCACTCAAAACTCTTGACTTTTTTTATATAAATAAATTCGGTTTGGTTAGCTATTCAAGAGAGATTTAATTGATATTATGGTTGTTGTGATTCTAACATTGATTGTTTTTTAGATTTTAGTTTTTCTCTAGTAGATCTTGAATTCATCTTTTCTCTATGTTATAACACCATTTCTATTTATGCTCTTTTAACTATTCACAACTGTTTTTATGTGTTAATAGAAGAAGAAAATTAGATGTTTGGTCTTTGTTCTTGTTATAGGCATATAATAGACTCGATTGCCTTCCTCCATAAAAATGTATATGTTTTTTCAAAGGGAGGAGGGGGGAGCTGTAATCTTATGTTAATATTTGTCTAGCTCCAAATTTATTAGATGTTCTGGTAATGCTAAAATTCTTCAAACAATATCTCAGAAATATTGGTTCAACAAGTCGGGATCTCCAAAAGAGTGCAAAAATCTTTAAGTGAATCTCATCAAAAGAGCATCAATAGACAATGTGGGTAAATTCTCAATCGTAAAAATAACATTCCTAATCAAATCCAAAGAGAACTAGAGTTTCCATTTTGAACTCCCAACACATGCAACACTTTTGAGAGAGGGGAGAGTTGATTTCAAGAGAAACTCTATCATCCACAAATTCATGTTCAAACCCACTACCGGAACATTCAGAATTCATTAAATAATAAATTTT